CGGAGCACCTGCATGGGTTGCACTTTTATATAGGATACTGCAGCCCTTGTTTGTTTTCACACCTACAGAATACTTCGATTCATATCCCTTATGTTAAAAAAAAAATCAAAGGGAAAAGCCATTGTGATGAACACAAAGATGGTTGCAGAGCCAGCCAGTTTGTAAGTGAGCATATGAAGTTCGCATGCCTAGTCACAAAACAAAACGCTGGGAGCAGAAAGAGGCACTGGTTTCCACAGAAGGTACGTCTGCTTTTGAGCTCTCGGGGCTACAGGAGCATTTAGGGGATTCTTTGAAGCGTCCATGGCTGTGTTATTAGATTTGTCTGGGGCTTGTTGAAAAGTATTTATTAGAAGCCTTCTTGATCCTTCTTCTGTCTGATATGTCATAACTTTTATGTCATAGAAATAACCAGAGTGAAGAAGCAGAGGCAAGGCACAGGTTATTTACCAGCCTTCTCCACATCCAGCCGGCCATTTAGGCTAGGAGGAGTATGCTGGGTAATTTATGAAAACAGAACTAGTCCGTGGGAGTGAAATAAAGCCCTGTGCAATCCGAGACAGTCATAATGAACAAAATAAATTCCATCTTTATGCAGATGTGCCACGAGGGCTGTCAGAGTGTCAAGGAAAATTTACTCCCTGTCTCAGATGCTCAAGACAAACAATTGCAGGAGATGAATAACGGTACGGGGAAGAGGAACCTGCCTGGCTGGCATCCCCGAGAAGTTCCAGCCTGTGGCGGAGCTGTGTACTTGAACCCAACAGTAGTGTCCCCTGAGCTACCTTCTTATCCCCTGCAACGATAGGCTGGGACACTTATTTTATTCTCCGTATGCTTATATTTTGATCTAGAAACATTTACTGAACTCTAGCAAACAAGGGAAGGGAATCGATCTGGGCTGACATGAGTGGCAAGGTCTATGTGGCTGTAAGACAAATCTCAATAAAACTCAGACTGGAGAGCAAAGCCATGTGCTTCCTCCATCCCCAGCAGCCCCAACCCCATCCTTAAGGAGATCCTGAAGTGATTCAAGCCCATGTCAATAGGGAGAGGTGGCTGCCTGACCCTTTGCCAGCCACACCAAGCACTGCCAAAAGTCTCAGATTCCTGACATGACCCTAGGGACCAGAGTCCGTTCACCCGTGTCTGGTTTGCTAAAATTGAGAAAGTGCTGCGGTTCTTGGATGATGCCAAGGAGCTATGTATTCAGGGCCCCACGTTGCATGAAGTTACTTGTCTTGGCTCTGTTCCTTACTGTGCTCCATCCAGAGGTGATTTTGTTTGATTAATTTTACTTCACTTATGGGGGAGAGGGTGTTTTTTTCACTAGGAACTGCTTTCTTGCTATGGCTTCACTATGACTGTCAACCTATGTGCTGAAGGAACCTATTATGGATGGGCATGCAATGGCCACTTGCCCTGGGACTTTTCCTTTGAGGTTCCATTACCCAGAATCTCTAACATCTGGACTGTGCCTGACTTAAACTCCAAATAGTACATGTTGGCACATTTACCTGCCTCTTCCCTTACCAAAGCAAACAAACAAACAACAAAAACCAAAACCACTCGATTAAGAGGCATCAAGGAATATTAATTTCACTATGTGATATTTCAGAAGCCCTAACGGGAGATGATGGCTGACAATTCCTTTTGTGGATTTTCGGGAAATTATAGCAAGCCATAAGTAAGGAAATGCAGGCTGTCATGAATAGGAAGTTTATAACTTCTCACACAAGCCTCCCCAACAACTGAACCAACGTTCTGTTCTCTCTTCCGCCTTTTACGTTTTACTGGAGAAGCAGAATGGCTCCGGGCAGCTTCACTCAACGAGGGCTTCACTCCTGGCTTCCGTGTGAATTTGCTCTGAAATCATAAAGTAAAACATAAAAGCAGGATGGGAAGAGTAAAGAAGCTGCGCTGCAGACTCCACCGTGATTATGTATTCTATCCAGGGCACACTTAACTCTCTAATTGCTAATTGTAATCTAAATGAAAACATGTGTTTCTTGTTAAATTCATCAACTTCCCTCCTAAGTGCTACCAAGGAGGACTGTGATTAAGGCTGAAGGCTCACCTCGGGGTTCTGACACCCACGGGGCTCAGGCAGTCGTTGAGATGTCTTTGGAAACTGGAGCCTGAGATGGGTGAGTGTACTCTTTTCTAAATCCCACAACTGGAGAAGACCTGGAGAGGTCAATCGGGTAGGAGCTCGGCAGGTCACATGCTGCACTGTCTCCTCAGAGATTCCGGCCAGCCCTATTTGGACTCTATCCCTTTGCCTCCTGAGGATACCCTATGGAGCTCTAACATCCTACAGATTGGAACCAGAGTGCAGCAAAGGAGCTGGTTCCCCACTGGGTCGCGTGGAGGCCACCCATCCCTGACAAGTACAAGAGGCTCTGAATGAAAGGATGCTTAGAAAGATCCTACTGGGACACAAAGGATTCTGGAACACAATAGAAGACCAGAGTTCCATTATCTGATAAGCACAAATTTAGTATTAAAATTGAGGGAAAGCCTAGGGGCTCTAGTATCACTCAACTTTTACAGGGAAAAATCCCATCTTGAATAAAAACAAAATCTTGGGTAGAGAATGGGACTGTTATTTTTATTAAGGTATGGTATGAGACCCCACACCAAACTAGTAATAATCACATGACTTTTTTCTTTTTACAAATTACTTTTTCCGTATTTGTTTTCATTGAGCTCACAAAGAGGCTATGTGGATAGCTGATCAATACACGTGAAAAAAATCTATAAGGTGGGAGTTTGTCTGAGGGTGCACTCTTGAGAGAAGTAGAATCAATAAGGGACACATGTAAAAGAGGGAGGAGCAGGGAATGAGAGAGAGAAGAGGAGCGAGAAAGAGAGAGATTGGCTTACGAGGATTAGTCTTAAAATATCCAGCTGAGAGAGAAACCAACAAGGCCCTCCCTCAAAGACAAGCAAAGACAATGAATGTTCCTCACTAAGTCCTCTGTTCTACTCAGGCCTTCTGGGGCCTGAATGAGACCCACCCACATGATGGACAATCGGCCATATTCAGGCTATTTATTTACATATTAACGTCATAAAGAAATATTCACACAAACATCTTCAGAATAAACCAAATATTCTGGGCACTCTGTGGTCTTGTTGAGGTAACAAGGATTTAGTTATCATAAAGTCTAAACTTACAATGCATTCAAAGCACTGAATCTTATGGAAAAGCCTAGGAAATGCATAGCTCAGCAAACATGGCTGAACATGGACACAATGATGCTTGCCCCATCTGTGGGCACGGGTGAAGCCAATCGTGCCAGTCTGTTGGCCTGTGGGAGAGAGCATAAGGCTAGTGCCTCGTTCTCTGTCTCTATGGAGCCTGGGAACTTGGGGTCCGTTTTCTCCTCTGTAACTGTCTTAGGAGAATCAGTGCCTGAAGACGGGTATGCAGGAGGCTTGGTCTACTTGGCTGGAGCCCCGATTGCTTCCAAACAATTCTCAGCCACAAGTTCCTGAGTACCTGCAGGGACTCATGTTGCTCCTGTGTCTTAGTTATGGTTTCTATTGCTGTGAAGAGTCACCAGGACTATAGTAGCTCTTATAAAGGAAAACATTTAATTGGGTGGCTTACAGTTCAGAGGTTCAGTCCATTATCAGTATGGTGGGCCATGGCAGAGTTCAGGCAGACATGGTTCTGGAGAGGTAGCTGAGACTTCTACATCTTAAACAGGCAACAGGAAGTAATCTGAGGTACTAGGTGTAGCTTGAGCATGTATGAAACCTCAAAGCCCACCTCCACAGTGACACACTTCCTCCAACAAGGCCACACCTTCCTATAGTGTCATTCCCTATGAGCTTATGGGAGGCAATTATATTCAAGCTACCACATCTTGGGATACTGGATCAGAACCAACTGGGTATGTGTTAACCCCAACCCAAGGTATATAAAACCCTCTTTCCCTTCAGTTAAGCTCCTGGGACTGGAAATCTTTTTCTTTGGGTCTATCATTGGTTAAACTATTGTAGCTCCTGCACTATGGTATGCAAGGCGGGAACTAGGCTGGGGATTTTAAAACATATACACAGAGAGACACGGGGACACGGGTCATCTTTGAATTCCCCAAGAATGCCAAGAATGCCCACTTTATTGTGTTCAGTGGCAGCTTATATAGGGATCTGGCCACACCCCAATTCTCAGAATCCTTCAGCTGCAGACCCATCAGACTGACATCAGGGTCTCCTGCTCAGAGCAGCTGCAAACACAGAAAAGCAAGTTGTTTTGCCCAGAGCAGCTGCAAGCATAAGAAGTGGTTTACAGGAAATTCAGGGTCTGGGGGTCCACAGCTCCCAACAAACTCTGTTTCCTCAAAATGCACATTGACTCCCGGTACCTCAGGATGTGAGTCTGGAGGTATGGGCTTCACTGAGATGATGAGTCTACATGAGGCCATTTAGGTATGGTAGTAATTCAGACTGACTGATGTCGTTATAAGAGAAAGTCACCATGGACACTCAGTGGCATGGCCATGGGAGGATGCAGGAACACAACTATAATCTGGAAGCCAGGGAGATAGGACCCAAGAGAAACCAACCTTGCTGATAACTTGGTGTTGGACGTCCAGATTGTAGAGCAGCGAGAAAATAAAAGCCCGGTGTGCGAGCCCTTCCACCAGGGGTAGGTTATTATGTCCACCTGAAGCATTGAACACAGGCTCCTTAAAGCATAAATGGTATCGCCACACCATCCTGAACAGTGATGGTCACCCCTGTCATGGTGAGAACTTTCCTCTGACAATGACTACCATAGTCCAGGACAGAGGGCACAGGCAAGTTCCTCCTAGCTCCGCCTCCACCCCACTAAATCCCTGTCACACCTTGGATCACGGAGACCCTAGCTGACACACGCATGTTTTCTTCTCGGAGTTTTTCCCATATTAACTTGGTTTTTATCCTCTTGCACCTTTGCCACCCTCCCCCACCCATGGCTTTGCTTTATTTTCCAAATTCTTTTGGGGCCTCCACTGCATGACATTGGACTTTTCATTCATGAAGTGCTCTGATCCTTGGCTCGTGTAAGGATTCATTTTTTTAAAGTAAATATTATGTAAATCAACTCTTATCCCTCGAACCTATCAAAGAACCTACAGTTCACACTTTCTTGGGTCCCCTACCTTCATCAATAGAAACATACTGAAGCGTGTGTTCATCAAGGACTTCCTTCATTATACAACATTAGTCTAGTCTCTAAAGAACCTGTGTGCATGTGAGAGCATGCGTGCGAGCGTGCGTATGTGTATGTGTATATCCAGTATTTTCTACTGGAGATATATCCTGCATCAAAGCATACATACATACTATTTTGAGAAATCCACAATAGACTCCAGTATTGGAATGTTTGGTTCCCAGCTGGTTGTGCTGTGTGGGGAGGTGACACAGCCTTGCTGGAAGAGACACGTCCGTGGGGGTGGAGTGGAGATTTGAGAGTTTGCATCCTTGCTCCACTTACAGTTTGCTTTCTCAGTTTTTATGCTTGAAGATGTGATTGTTTTCTCAGCTTCCTGCTACCGTCACAATGCCTACTGTTTGTTGTCTTGCCTCCCCACCATATTGGATGCTTAACCTTCTGGAGCCAAAAGCCAAAATAAAGTCTTTTGTTCATCAGTTACTTCTGGTCATGGTATCCTATCAAAGGAACAGAGAAGTAGCTAACATACGTATACACACGTGAATGGACCTGGATCATACACTACTGAACATTCAACACCACCGGCAAGCTAAGCAGTCTAGGAGAGCTGGAGTAACTTGTGCCAAGTCAAAGGTCACAACGCTATTGTGATCGCTTTGTGAATGCGAATTTTTAATCTCATTATCTGCAGTACTGGACAGCCGTTTAGTCCGCATTGTCTTCATCTGTTGTCACCCTGAACTCAACTTACTGGCAGTATTTCCCACTGGCTGTTTGGAACCTGCAGTATTTGGAATTCTGTCCATGTTTAACCACTGGGGTCATTTTATTTTCCAAAGAACCTCCTTAAGGCTTTATGGCTCATCTTGGTTGGCTTGTGTTTCCTATTTCATTGGCTTCCATTTCTGTTTTTGTGTTCTTCTTCTCTCTTGCCTTCTTCTTTTCATCTTTTTGTCAGTGGTTTCATTTTTATTTTTAGCCTTTCTTCTTTCATGATTGAGGCATTTTATGTTTTGATTTTACCATGACCCCTCTTTTACCATGTCTCACAAGTTTTAATATTTAGTATTTTCATCACCATACATTATCAAGTTTTTTTTATTTCCAGTTTGCTTTCATTTTTGGCTTATACGCCTGGAACTTTCCCTTTTAGTGTTATTTTAAATATTTTTATTAATTTTTTGACAATTACATACATGCCTATAATGTATTCTGATCTCACATTTGCTCTGCACTGCTTCCCTTAACTCCTCCTAAATCCCGTGTCCACTGTCCTGTCAATCCTCGCCCAGCTCCAGCCCCCTTCTAATCACTCCAACCCCCCCCCCAACCTCATGTCCTCTTTTCTCTAATGATTCACCAAGTCCGATTTGTGCTGCTTGTATACTCATGGGTGTGGAACCATGGGTGTGGAACCATGGGTGTGGAACCATCCACTGGAACATGGTCAGCCTACCCTTAAAGACGATGGTGGAAGTCGTCAGTTGTTAACTCCTCAGTTAAGAGCAGGACCTTTGAACATCCCCTCTTTGTTTGCTCGAATGCTGATTGCCTTGGTTGTGCACAGGTAACCACAGCTGCTGTGAATTCACAAGTACTGTGATCCTGCCACGTCCAGAAGATTTTTGCAGTCTCATTCTTTGCCTTTCTGTCCCCTCATCCATGGTGGCCCCTAAGCCTTGGGGTGTAGGTTGTTATATAGCTGTTCCACTTATGACTGAGGACAGCACAGATACTTCTCTGGACTTTAACCGAGTTCTACATTTCTGAGTTAGTCACCATTTACTACACAAATAAACTCTCCTGATGAGGTCTGAGAGCTGCACTCATCCGGGTCCTGTATTTAGAGGGTAGTTTGATACTATGTCCTTTCAGCAGAGCAATAGAAGTAGACTCACCCCCTGGGTCCTGTGAACTCCCAGACATGGACTCTTGGCCATGTTTACAGAACCAGGCATGTGTTCCTTCCTGTAGAGCTGGCCTGAAATCCAATCATAAAGTAGTTGGCTATTCCCATGACATTCATGCCACTATTGTCTGTGGGTGTTGTCTTACCATAATAGCCATTAATGTAGCTCACAGAGTTCACATCTGGGTAAGATTGTTGATAACTTTTCTCTTCCTGTAGTCTACATAGTCAGCTATGGAGCTAGCCAGCAGGGAGGAAGCTTCCCAGTCAATAACCAAACTGTTCTCCATTTTCTGTGAGCAAAGTATGTGATATTTTTAGTAATAGGATCTTATGATCATGTTCTGGCAGGCAACCTAGAAAAATGATAATAACCTATGTAGTTTGGTATATTCTGGAGTCTGGCCAATAACTAGAGGAGAGATATCCTACACCTGGCATCTGGCTATTTACCTGGCAACTTTTAACTTCTGGGAGGAATATTATCTTTGTGTAGGTTAACACCAATTAAATTTTATATGCATATATGTAACATATGCATACTGCTTATAAAACTGTAGGTTTTCAGATGGCTTTTCAGAAATTCCTTAATGCTTTTTATCCCACCCCCTCTTCTTCTCTACCTTTCCATCCTCCCCATATAAACCTCTCTTCCCACTGATCCTTCCTTGCCCCCCCTTCATGTCACCAGTACTTTGACATGATACTCCCTTAAGATCTTCCTTCTCCCCAAGAATCTTTCCTTTCTCATTTCCTTGCTTCTACAGATACTCCAAGTTAAACACATAAATCTACAGATTCAGTGTTAGGATCCACATATCAGTGAGAATAAGCAACATTCGTCTTTCTGGGTCCGGGTTGCCTCACTCAGTATAATATTTTCCAGCTTCATTCAGCTATCTCCAAATTTCATATTTCTTTACAGCTGAATAAAATAATATTCTTGAAAATGTGGTTTTTCTTTCATAAATTTTGTGACACTGTTTTCCCGTCTTTATTTTTTCCAACACTGATCTCAAGGAAGGTGTCTCGTGCTATTTTGTGGTCTTAAGACAGAGTGTCCAAGACTGGAGGATATATAAAGAAAAAAGACTTACTTATTACAGTTCTGGGGATTGGAAAGGTCAAGGTGGAAGGGGTCCAGGGCTGTTAAGGAGGGTCTTGCTGCATCAGCATCCACTGCAGAAGGCTGAAGGGCATGTGAGCATGAAGGGAGAGAATGGAATGAGACCAAGCTCATTCTTTGGTCAGGATCCCACTCCTATGATCACCAATCCACTCCTACGATGGTGCGAGATCCACTCAGGACACCAGAACTCCACAGCCTCGTAAACCTTAAAGTGTCCCACCTCTAACGTGGTTGCACAGGGGACTAAGTTTATAACACACATTTCAGGGACACTTTCACGCCATAGCAGTCAATGTCACGGTCTTAGAAGGAAGTAGAAGTCCTCTGTATCTTCCTTCTGGCTTCCTCAAACAAATGGAATGTCCCCTTCCTGTCCACCTATCTCCTCTGCCTCCATGCCTTAAGTTGTTACGGTGAAATAGTTATGCCTATCAAAAGCTAATTTTTTAAATGTCACTGTTACCTCACAAAGCTCTTAGACTGTAGTTCCTTTTCATTCTTCAAGAGTCTCTTCTCTGCCCCACCTCCTAAGGAGAGCACACACTCCATGACGACAAGGAAGTTCCTACCACATCACCCTCCAGAGTCCTAAAACCTGGAGCAGCTGTGTCCAACACACAGTAGGATCACAGGCTTCTCTTATTCCTAGAGTCCACAAACACATGACATTTATTCCAATGTATTTCTTTGATTGGTTTTGTAGTTGTTAATCTGTTACTTTGTCCGTTGTGTATATTAGTTTTTTTTCCTGAGTATGTACATATAGAGAAAACACAGAAGATATAGTGGGTTTGGTGCCATCCACAATTTCAGGCGTCCACTGGTATCTTGGCACAGAGTCACTAGGGCCAAAGAGTAACACTGAACTTGTCAAGAAAAATGGGATCAGCACAATGGCTGAGTGGGTAAAGGTTCTCGCTGCCGTGCCTGAGAACCTGAGTTCAATGCCCAGAACTCACATGGTGGAAGGAGATAACTGGCTCCCAAAAGTTGTCCTTTGACCTTCCCAGGAACACCATGACACACTTGGGCATGCACATTTGCAGGAGTAGCAGGGAGACAGAGGCTCCCAGGAGGTATCTCCAAGAGCTTCCAAAGATCTTTTGTTGGGAAATCTGATAGAAGTGTTACTGTAGGAACATAGTAGATGGATCAAGTAGAGAAACATGGCAATATATAACTCCTGGAAAAACAAAGAGTCATGTAAGAAAGAAAATACAATCATAAAGAGGGATGTGTTGCTACTGTGAGCAAAACCTCCATAGTTTAATCAGATGTTTTCAGAGAGTTCTGTGTGGAGAATGTGGAGGAGGGGTGTGCATAGTTATACAGAAGATGGCCTTCAGGGAAATTTTCTGTACAAGTGTTTCTATGTATGTTTCATACAGAGAGTTAACAGATAACATCAAAAACAGAAAAAAAACAATAAATAATAAGAGTGTTCCTTAGAAAATTGGAAGTAAATACAGGAATTGATACTAAAGTTATTTAAATTGGTTGCCTCAGAATTACAGAAATCAGGCAGATGGAAGGCAAGTGAAAGGGATTTTGTAGCGCTATATGACAGAATAAATTCTGTATATTTATTATTCTGATAAAATTAAAGTTATGACAGAATCTATTTAGATAAATCTTGAATAACCTTTTGTTTTCTTTTTAAATTGTTTCTTATTTTTTTTAATTAAAATACAATCACATCACTCCCTTCCCCTCCCCTTTCCTCATTCCAACCCTCCCCATGCTCTCCTCTCAAATTCATAGTCTCTTTTCCTTTAATGATTGTTGATACACACACACACACACACACACACACACACACACACACACACACATCTATATATAGGGAGAAAGAGAGATAGACAGAGAGATGCATACACATAAGCATAACTATGTAAATACAACCTGCTGAGTCCATTTAGTGTCCTTGCATAAATATGACTTCAGGACTGAACACGGGGTATTGGATAATCAATTAGGGGCTCATCCCTGGGAAAGACTAATTCCTCCTTTCTCTGCTTGTATCAGCTGCTGTCGTCCTTTGTCTAGAGTTGGAGTCCTGTGAGAATTTCCACTTCCACATTAGCATGTCTATTGGTATTGTCATCGTTCAGGTCTTATTTAGGCAGCCATATTGTTGAAGCATCATGGATGTGGCTTCCCTGTCATTTCTAAGAGGGACAACCTCAGAGCAGACTTCCTGGCCCTCTGGTTCTTCACATCTTTCTTCCCTGCCTTCCATGATGTTTCCTGAGCCTCTGGTTCTGGAGTTGTATTGTAGGTGTATCTAATGGGGCTGAGCACCCCATTAATAGCTGTTCTCTGTGTTTTGACCAGTTGTAGTTTTCTGTAATGGTCCCTGCTGAACCATGACATGCTGAAAAGACATGCTTCTTTGATGAGGAGTCAGAGCTACAGTTACCTGTGGTTATAAGGATACATATTTGGAAAGAAGTTAAGCATCATTCTTGTTGACTGAGGTGACATTAGTAGGTTCCCCTACAAAGGTCCATTGGTTCGCTAACCGTAGACAGTTTGCTGGGGTTCCCGTACCAGGCATGGTTTTGTTCCTGCTGAGCAAGCCGTAAGTCCAATTAGACAGCTATTATTTCCCGCCAGGATATGAGATGGCCAGGGGTTCTTTGTGAAACAATCAGCAGAAATTTCAAGATGGTGACAGCCATCAAAGGACCTCATGGGTCTGCACAGTATGCAGCCCACAGAATTCCCCTGGGTGTATGCCATGAGAACATATAATCTGGATTAGAGTGTAGACTTACGTTGACCATTTGTTCATTAGAAATGAATGTGATGGTCAGACCATTAGGGACAGAGCTCATGGATCGGAAACCTATGTGTGTGCTCCCCTTCCACGTAGATGTTCACAGTGACGGACTGTGACTGTGGCAAAAGGAACATCAGAGCAGATGCCATGCTGTGTGACCCAGCAGCTGCATCTGAACTGGTCTGCAGTCTGGGCCACTGCCTGGTCTCACAGGCTGATGGTGTCCACACTGCCAACTACCTCCTTTCTTCTTGTGATCCCAGGAAGCCTCCGAGGGCTGTGAGAGCCCCTTAGCTAGGATTCTGAGACCCTCATACAGTCTGACTCTAGTTCTGCCTACTTGGAAGCCAGGTCTGAATATATATCCCCTACCCTTCTAATTAAATCTTCACCAGTCTGCTCTTTTCCTCGAACTTTCTCAGACAAGATTGTATTTGTCCTGTGGCTTCCAGGAATTAAGTGTACATGTCATTCATGTTTGCTGGCGCACAACCTCTGAAGACAGTGTGGCTCTCCCTAAAGTGTACAGGACAGGCCTGTTCCGCAGAGTCCCTTCCTGGTGCGGTGGTATCTAGCTATCTCTCTCACTCTGTCAACAATAGCACTAATCACTAGGATGCAGGCCCTGTTACAGCCGCTGCAGTGAAATCTCCATTTACAATGTGTGAAGCTTGTTTGCTTGGGGAAACAAACTTGGAAGGATCGTTTTCATAATTTGTGATATCTTGTACTAGGTACGATGTGTTCATCCCATGGACTCTAACAGCTAAGAGCATTGTAAGGTACAGCGCATGTCAAGCACGCACAGCTCCACCAAAGAAAACAGCCTTGACAAACGGCCGAAGGTAAACAATACAAAGCACAGAAGCTTGAAAGAAACACACAGAGAGGAAGAGCCCAAAAGACGGAACCAAGGCATTGATGTTCTTGGCCCAGGTATAGCTGAACTTTCCTGCTTCTGAAATAAAAGACGAGCATATGATCTTTGTGAACTCTGTAAGATTTCATATTCTCTGTCATTTTTTAAAGTTATTTTTAAGCTCACAAAGGTACCGTGGGACCCTTATAAAAGTTTCAAACGATGCAGAGCTTTCACATGAAAAGTGATTGTTGTCCTTTACTATTCCCTATGACCCTCCCCTCCCAGACGCCTTTGAATTTCTGCACACCACATGTGTGCTTTCATGCATGTAGGAACACATAGAGATCTTGCTTGTGTAAAAACAACATATATATATATATATATGCATATAGAGAGAGACAGAGACAGAGGCAGAGGTATAGATAGATAGATAGATAGATAGATAGATAGATAGATAGATACAAATATAGATAGATTGTTTACAGCTTTACTGAATATTATTTAATAACTGGTAGCTTTATATATCATGAAAGCAGAAGAGAGTGCTATGGTATGAAGAATGAGAGAGGCAAAAGGAGGAAAAGGGTAGAATAGGAATAAAGTATAACAACATCATACATACATGCACACACACATGCAAAGTTGCCACGATAAAACTCACTTCTTTGTATACTAACCAAAACCTCAACAGAAATTAAAGCAACAGAACCCCGATCTAAATTATTCCCAACACCTTTTCACCCCAGGACAACTAAACGTTTTCTCTACTAATGAGCTACACAATAGTATAACAATATAAGTAACCTGTGAAGGTACAGTTATCCCTCCACTTAAAGTCCCCTCAGTTCTTCTTATTTTGATTCTATATGAAGTGTTGCCGTGAGCATCCTTGTACAATTATCTTTGAGTGTATACATAAGTATTTTTATCAGACATATCTAGAAAAACTTCTGAATCCAAGTGGGTTAATGTTCTAATGTGAAGGGTTTTATCAGCTGACTTCCCAAGAATCATTTTATTTTTTGTTGAGAGAAAATGTTTGTACATTATTTGTGTAATGGATGATCTAATGCATGCATACAATATGTAATGATCAATTCTGGTCAATTAGCACTTCTGATTCCTCAAACATTAGTCATTTTTGTATATTGGTAACTATACACTCTCAGTTACTTTAAAATACATCATAGATCTTTGTAGACTATAGTTCCCCTTCACTATGCTATAGGGCACCAGAACCAATTCTCCTCTAATCATGCTTTGGTGACCCTAACATACCCCTTTCCTATCCCTGGAGGACAGGTAGAATGATTGACATGTCCAGCTCATGAAACACAATCAAGTATGGTATTTAGTACCAGCTGGGAGTTGTCCAGATTAATGACTGGGATGAAATTTGGCTCTTTATAGCCTTCAAATCACGCTATCCCCCATCAAAAAGAAATTTATCTTCTAAAATAAGGAGCAGAAAAAGGATATGGAGGCAGGGTGGCCAATTTATCACTGGGAATGAGATTAAAATTGCAGAATTCTAGCAGCTCTTAGTTTTCAATGTGGACCCAGACCCAGAATTGATCTTGCTGTGTGTGTGTGTGTGCACACACGTGTGCACGTGTGTACATGTGCAAGCATGGGCATGGGGGTGGACAATATACTTTAAACCGAATTGTTAATATTTTTTTTTATTGGATGAGCATCTTTTTGTGCTGCCTTTCAGTATAATGAGTTGCACCACTGAGTACAGTCAACACTCACAATGTAAGACAGACACCACTGACGCTAACACTCACATCACCCCACTGTCATTTGCCATTGATTCATCTCTGTGATTTCACACGCCCCTGTCCCGTGTCACTTCACACAAATGAGGACTGTATCCCCTCTACGTGTTCTTGTGCTATCTCAAACACTGTCATAGTCTCAGATGAGACTCTTGTTAAGAATTTCACTGGAAAGCCTCCCAAATAAATGATCTGTTAGAGAACCTAGCTCAGCACATTTTCCCACACCCAGCAGGTGCTCATTTTCTGCTTCCCGAGATGAATGGCCTGAAAGTCAAGAATAGAACTGATGGATGGAGGTTGAGCACAGAATTACAAATCCTTAAATCAAAAGTGCTTGGGATGTATGGGCATCCTTACCTCCTGCCTTTAGAGGTGGTTTTGTTGTTCTTGCTTTGAGAACAAAAGCTGGAGGCAAATTAATGACAATTCTCTTCCTCATTTGGCATCCGAGAGTGTCAGTTCTAAACGGCAGTGAGTACCTTCTTGCTGTGTGATAAGTGCTTTGGGGCTTGACTGTGTGGCAGGAGAGGGGATCAGAAAGGACACAGTGACAGTGCCGAAATTCGTGGTCACAGTTAGCACGGACAAGAAGCATGTGTGGTTCCTGTTCCTTGGGTAATGAAAGAAGAGTCAACACATCCTGGTTCCTTTTCTAGTCTGGATTCTCGGTCACCACCCGCCCTCTCTATGCAGAGCCCAGCCCTAATGCAGGGGAAAGAAGGGAACTGTTTGCCAGAAGAACTTGCAGCCGGGTAACCCCAAGCCTCCTGGAGCTCCTGGGGGACAAAATATGTCATGGTAAGTTTTGCTCACTGAAACCTCTAACCCGCTTACAGAGGAACACTAGACCTGCCAGGGTTACTATCCAGTACTTCCTCCCACAAGGACCATTTTGTCTGCTCCAGTTGGCTATCTCTCAGGACATGTGCACCCTTGCATTCCCTCTTCTAGTTCCTCGTTATCTTCACTTTGTATATGAATAACAAAGGCTCAAGGAAAGTAAAGAAGTGAATAAGGTCCTATGATTTAAAAGGGCAAAATCAAGTTTGAATTTAACTAATCCGATAGAGAGCCCAAGTCTTTAGGTATTCTACCCCCATGTCTTCGAGGAGGAGTAAAGTTCAAGGTGCGCCCAGTGCCATGGAAGAGGAGGGGGAGCAATGTATTGGGGATCACAGTCATTACAAACCCCCTATTCAAAGAGCAGAAGACTTGAAGGTGGAAGAATGGACCAATGTTCCCCAGAACTGTTTGACACCAACAGGCTTAGAGAAATGAAAGCTATCCATGTGTCGAGTTCAATGTTAAACTGATGACACAGTAAGCAATGAGAAAAGTACAGTTTCTTTAACTTACTATGTGTGTGGTTTGTACTCTGAAAAGCAGTTGAAGACAGCCCTTTCCTTGGGTTCCTGAGAGCCATGACAAAGAACAGCGGCCAAGCTCTCTGCATGGAGCTATATCCAGGCAATGCTTCACAGGTTTCCGATAGCAATGTTTCCCAGTGAGTCGCTGTAAACAAGGAAAGTGAACCTGAGTTGGCCATACTCAATGACTTATTTATCCTACCCACTATTTCTCTAAGGAGAGAGATCAGAAGGTTTATAAGACTAAGTCCTTCTCTGTTTTCCTTCTGGAATGTTCCACAGTTTTACAAGAATGTAAAGGGCCTTTCAAAAAGAGGGGAGAAGCATGCAGAGGTTCAAGAAGGGGAATGAGCTTCAAGGTATCACGGGAAGAATGAGGAGAGGCTTCGTGAGCAGGGTGGGTTCTGAAGGCTACACAACAGAAAGAGCAGCCATCAAGAGGAAACCAACAGAGGGGACCCCTTCACCTGACACTGTACCCAGAGCTGTAAGGGAACAATGTCTGTTGTTGAAGGTACCCAGTCTGTGGCACTCTGCACCACGGCAGCTGAAGCTGTGGGATCTGCCTGCCATTCCCACCTTCACCAGATCCTAACTTCCCACCGCTCCACTCCCTTTCACTTGAGGTAAAGAAGGCAGTGAACTGCCTCTTCCTAGATTTCTCTTACTGAGAATCGCCAGAGGAGAGCAGGAACAAAAGCAAGAAGGGGAGTTCTCAGAGTAGACAGTGTAACATGAGGGAGCCAGGCCTGCTTGTTTGTGTTTCTGTCCTGCCCAGCCCCCCAGCTGTTTAGTCCTAGAGAAAATCACACATAGGACTCCGTAAGTTATAAAGCAGATTGGCCCATTAGGTCAGGCTTCTTACTGGCTAACTCTTGATTAACCCATTTTTCTGATCTATGTTAGCCATGTGGTTTAGTACCTTTTTTCAGTGGGGCAGCTCACATCCTGCTGCTTCGGTGATCTGGGCAGGAGTGGAAAGAATCAACTTCCTCCTCCCCAGAATTCTCCTGCTCTCCTTGCATCATTTCCACTTCCTGTCTGGTTTCCCCGCCTACACCTCCTGCCTGGCCAATCAGTGTTTATTTAAAACATGACTGACAGAATACAGACAATTCTCCCGCACCACTTCCCCCTCTTTTTTTAAAAAAAAAAAAAAAAAACAAAGGAAAATATCCATAGTCCATTTTTGGGAATGTGAGCGTAGTATTCCAGACTACTTCCAGCTGGTTGGGGGTGCTGATAATCTTATGGGAACCTAAAGAAAATTTAGAGTTATGATCAAGTCCTGACTGAAGTATCCTGTGAGTCCTGATCATCTCAGGCAGCAGTCTTGAATCTGTTCTGGATGAAGAACTCAGACATCTGGGCCATTTGTTCCTACTGGAGATTTCTCAGGTGGTCTCCCTTGGTCAAAGATGATTTTTCTTAACTCTGAATAAATCCAGAGCCTCTCATTTTCTGTGGAAACAAAAGCAAAATCTCTTTTCCAAAGTAACATACCTTTTGACTTCAATTTTGAAGCCAAGGAATTTTCAAAATGCCTATCTTGGATTAATTCTGCAGCATTTATAAGCAAATACCTTTTGGCAGCTGTTTCTCCTTCCTCAGCATTCAAACAATTCAAAGAGAGCATAACAGCAAACAGTATCAAGATTCTCTGTGTATTTTCCATCTTTACATGGCTTTATTTTAACCTCTATTTCTTTTATTTTTACTTTTAACTTTTGGCTTTTTGAGACAGGTTCTCTGCATATCTTTGTCCTGGAACTCCCTCTGTAGACCAGGCTATCCTTGAACTCCCAGAGATCCGTCTGTCTCTGCCTCCCCAGTGCTGGGATTAAAGGTGTGTACCACCACACCCAACTACTCTCTTTATTTCTTTTTTACTTTAAGGCTTTAAACCTTCTTTTTAAAGACTGCATATATTTTTAACACATTGTAAACCATTTAGAGGTTTTCTTAGTCTTTGAATCTCTCTTTACTGTAGATCTCTCTTTTTCTGACCACATGGGTCTTTAATTTGCTAAGGAATATGGAGAAAACAACAGTCAAAAGCTCTTAAGGCGTTTCAAGGTCCTTGCCAAGAAGCAAGCTGCAACAGTGTTTCCATAGTCTGGACTGCCTGCTTGAAAGAGTCAAGAGTTTTCCCTGGCCCAACGGCCCAGAAAGCCAGCATTTTAAAAGAGCGCAGCTTTTTTCCTGCTACAGCTGAAAACTGAAATGCTTTAGTCTAGTCTTTCCCAAGCTTTCTCAGACTTTTTGTGGATGCAGTTATCCACGTGGGCGCCATTCTGTAACATGAAAAGGACGGGCCTGCTTGTTGGGGTTTTTGTCCTGCCCTGTTCCCCCAGCTGTTTATTCCCAAAGTAAAATCACACTGAGATCTCTATAAGTTATAAAGCTGATTGGCCCACTAGGTCAGGCTTCTTACTGGCTAACTCTCACATATTGATTAACCCATTTTTCTGATCTATGTTAGCCATGTGGCTCAGTACCTTTTTTCAGTGGGGCAGATCACATTCTGCTGCTTCAGTGATCTGGGCAGGAGTGGGAAGAATCAACTTCCTTCTCCCCAGAATTCTCCTGCTCTCCTTGCATCATTTCCACTTCCTGTCTGGTTTCCCCACCTACACCTCCTGCCTGGCCAATCAGTGTTTATTAAAACATGACTGACAGAATACAGACAATTCTCCCCCACCAAGACAGGGCATTGCTTGAGGGGTCCGTAGGATGCTGTGGATGCCAGAGAGAGTCCTTGGCAGAAACTTCTGGAGTCTCACCCGCAGATACCATCTGTGCATTGGTTAATCTGAAGGACGTGCAAAGAGAAGAGGGACCAGGTCCCTGGAAAGGCCACCTTGACTCCTAGTGAAGCTCCCCGACAAGCACTGGCAGATGGCATTTGGAAAAGGGATAGCATTTTTTTTAACCTACCCTTTGGCCTGAGCAACTAAGCTCCATCCCCTGGCAGATCCTTGGTCCAGTTCCTCCCTCCCACACAGATAGGGAGACTTGGAAGGGCACAGGCCTGCTTCAGAGATCACCACTTTTAAACCTTCCCCATTGCCCTTCTCTTTGCTTCTCGCCTGAGTCCAGAAAGCTTACCAGGCTGTAACTAATATTTATTATCGTGTGTGTGTGTGTGTGTGTGTGTGTGTGTGTGTGTGTGTGTGTGTGGTGCATGCCTACACATATATGTGCGGAGGCCAGAGATCAATGCTGGGCTTCTTCCTCACTCACTCTCCACCCTGTATTTTGAGTCTCTCACTGAACCTGGAGCTCACTGGTTTGGCTAGACCAGCGGGCGGGTAAATTCAAACAATCCTCATGTCTTTGTCTCAGAGCTGAGACGGCAGCAAACTTTTTACAGGCTTGCTGGGGATCTAAATCCAGGTCCTCGTGCAAATGCTTTCCCCACTAAGCCAACCCCGCAGACTGTGGATATTACTTATTAGTATTAATTTGTATCAGGTCCCATTAATTTGGACAGTCCATGGAAGGAACTCACGTCAGCACAAAACTGCAGCCAGCCAGTGTGTTGGAATTAATTGGGCCAGGAGGCCGCCAGTCCCTTGGCTTCTGCGGTCAGTCTTTGTGGATTTTTTTTCTCTCTTGCTCTCTCCCAGCAAGTGCTGGGGCCGAGCGATGCCTCAATCCTTACTCCGCATGCGCTGAAAACTTGCAGATGAAAGCTGTGGCTGGGACCAGCCTAATTGGAGAGAATTGCAGTTTAGAGGTAAGGGCTGCAGCTAATAAGTCAATGGAGGAGCGGGGTGCAGAAGAGGAGGTGGAGCACGGCTCTTTTTTATGAAAATGTGGGCCTCCCCACAGTCTTTCCTCTTCAGCTGCTGCCTCACAGATGGACCCTTTAATTGAATTTTCCTACAAGCCTGGGGGAGGGAGTCATTGCGGGTCCAGGAGCAATTGAAGTGAATCCGATGGCTTGCGTTTCTTTTCATCAGGGGCTGAGGGCCAGGTGGGCAGTTGTCATTCTTGGCATTTTTAATCTTCTTCCTGTTCCCTCTTCTATTTTTTTTCCCATTCACCTAAAGGTTTGTCCTCCTTTGAAGTCCCCACCCAGCGTTTTCTGGCTATATCCTGGTCTTATTCCCAAGGGCAAGCTTAGAGAAAGATGAATTGGGAAGACGGGATTCTGTTTAACTCCACTGCTTCCATTGACCTTTTATTGAGCATCTGAGCTATGCCGAGGCCTGGGTGCCACAAGGAAGGAGAAAATGAGAAGTTTAATGTCTGCCTTTGGAGAACTTAGGCCTCGCCTGGAAGAACACTCGTTGCTGTTTAATCTTACTTGAGAATTTCACACACGAATACTGTGTTTACAACATCTCTGCCTCTTCTCTTCCGTTCTGAAATGCCTCCCATGCAACCCGAACTCCCTCTCGAATCCAGGACCTCTTCTTTAAACATGGTTTTATATATCACATAGGGATATGCATAATGTAGTTATAAATGAAGTCTGCCGAGACCATTTCATGTTGTTCATTTGTCTATGTGTTTAGGACTGACCGCTTGGGATGACTAGCCTACCCAGGGCTCATCCTTGGAGAAGGCCGATTCTCCCTCTGTGAGTAGCCATTATTTGCCTGTAGCTCCAGTGGGGCCCTGAGAAATTTCAGTTCACATTGGCTCGTCAACTGGTGTTGTCATTGTGCGAGTCTTTTTTTAGGCAGCCGTATTTTTTGAGAGTTGGTGGCTACAGCTTCTTTGTCACATATAGAAGCCACTACATTGCCTCAGAAGTCCCGGTTCTTTAGCTCTTGCCATCTTTCTGTGCTCTCTTCTGAGATGTTCCCTGAGCCTTAGACATAGGGACTGTGGTGTAAAAATATAAGACTGGACACCCCTGGGCAGTTCTTTTCTGCATTTTGCCCAGCGGTGGCTTTCTGTGACGGTCTTCATCTATTGCAGAGAAAAAAGCTTCTTTGATGAGGGATGAGAGTCCCATTCATCTGTGATTATAAGCAGAAATATTTAGAATGCAGTTAGGAATTTTGCTGGTTTGGGAAACTGGCAGGAGTAGGTTCTCCCCTGGGGTTCGTGGCCTTGCAGGCCACAGGTAGTTATAATCCCAGGCAAGAATTCTCTTCCACTGAGCAGGACTTAAGCTCAATTAGGTAGCCATCAGTTGCCCCAAGAGGCAAATCTGCCCAAGGAATAACACTCTTTAAAATAAAAGCAAAAGACAGTGAGCAAAGCAATAGCTAAAGGCAACCAAGGGACAAGAGAGGCAGTAGAAAGTCTTAAATGTAATACGATGTAAGACTAAAAGATACAGGGCAACCATAAGAAGCCCCTTGGGAGTCAGAGGGGTTGAGGGATACTTCATTTGGGAATGACCTATAAGTTAACTCGTTTGGGGTGAGGCAGGGGGGGCTAACTCCTTTTTGTCAGGAAGAGCAATAGATCTGGCAGTGTTCAAGAGAAGAGAAGAGAAATGAGTCCCATCTTCCTCCTCTTGTGCAAATATGTATGTGTCTATGCCTAGCTCTGAAATATGGACTTTCTAAGAACTCTTAGGATTTCTTCTTTTAAAATATCCAGTTTTGTTCCTTATCGTCGACTATGGCTATTTTTCGGGGTTCGAGATTCTCTTCTGTTAGAATCAAAGAAATTTTTGGGTAATGACTATTATAACTTTAAAGTATTTACTCAGAAAATATGGGGGTGCCTAATAAATCAGAGCACTTAATAATACTAGAACTGAAACTAGATTAAAAGTTTAATTCAAAAGCCAGGTCTGTCTCCCACATCTATACCCCAGCCCTTGTCAAGGCTGCCTCCAAGACCTTTCCCACCAAAGGCCTGGAGTGTAGACCCCACAAACATGTTTCCAGAGATCAGCCCATGCCACCCACTGCTAGCCACACATCTTGCCTCCTCTATTAGAAAATCAAAAACAAACTCTCTTCAATGCACGTACATCATGATTCATAAGTAATGAGAGCCCTTGTGCTGGTGGGCACAGGCAGCGGGTCACAGCTGGTGTGTGCTCAGTGCTCAGAGACCTCTGCAGTCACAGGAAAGAGGGAGACACCCAGTTCTGCCTTGCTTCTCCAGGGGGGATCCCAGCACCGCCTGTCAAGAGCCGCCAGCTCAGTCCTCAGGAAGACAGCCTGGCATACTGAGCAGCTATGGTGAGCTATTTGCTGACCTCTGCATAGTACTGTGCTAAGAATTTCACGTCATTGCTGAGATTCTTTTTCATTGCAGGCCATCTCAGTCTGAGCACTATGGGTAATCTGTGTCAAATAACCCTTGCTCATAGGGAGCTTTTTGTGCATCAGGAAGATGCTAAACAATATTCTGACTTCTACTCACTAGATGCCAAAAACGATCTCCAGATAGGGCTAACTGTCCCCTGAGTGACAGACTGTCCCAGTGAGGACCTCTCACTGTTTCTGATTCAATCTGCTGGATCTTTATATCAACACTTTGGGACCACTTGCCTCTAATTCGGGATGGCACTGTATCTGACATTCTTTGTCCTGGGTCACTAAGGCTACACTATTCTACCACTTGAAGTTCTAGGTGACAGGCTAGACCCTCCATAAGCCAATGCATCTGAATATGAGCTTGATTAACAAGGGGGCAAAAGCAGGATCCAAGTCCCTGGGGCTCATGTTTCCTGGGTTGACTTGCTTGGAAACAGAGGCCAGTGGACATAAAACCCTGGATGAAGCCTTTCAATTGCTACCTGGTCATTAGTTAGATGTGTAGCCTCAAAAGGGGACACAGGCTCTCTGAGATTCAGTGATACCTGTAAAATCCATCACATAGGATCTTGGGAGAATTGGACAGGGTGTTAAATATTCAGTTCCTACCCACCTGTTGGGCACCTAGAAGGTTCACTCCATCTGAATGGTTTGGTCCTACCCTTTAGACAAGCATAGGTTTTTATCTGTAATAAAAACCAGTGAGCACCAAGCCGAGAATCCCACTAAATGGGTGTGTTATGAATAGAGGGCAGTATTTCCTTCCAAGCAAGGCATTTGAACTTGGCATAATCCAATTCCTTTGTGAATCTCCAAGTGATCCCCCTGTGACGGTGTCCACAGGCCTATGGGACCAGGGTTGTTGTCTGAGTGCTCACGGAGGGAACAGGTGGGGGCTCTGCAGGTGTCTGTTCTCACAAGCTTGTCACCAGGAGCTTTGTCACCAGGAGCTTTGCCAAAGCCCAGCTCATCTGTCAGGTGTACAGGTGTGTCTGGGCTCAGTTTACACCCTGGAGTAAAGGTCATGGTTGCCAGGGTAGAGGGGCCTCCTCCTCCTCTATCCTCTAGGGATGGGAGCTTTTATCAACTTACATAAGAGCCTGCTACACCCTAGGACCCACAGAGGGCAACGAATAGGTTTCTCTCCCCACTCACACCAGAGAGTCACGAACCAGAGCTCCTTTGCAAAGGATCCTGGCGCTCAGTTCCCCTGAGGTTTGGAAGAATCTTGATGAAGGTTTGGGTCACCAGGCAGAGAACTGGGGAGGCAGATTCGGCTGCCCTGTGAGGCATCACGCCTTGAGAAAGTAAAGCAAAATGAGCAATAGCTGGCAGATTCTGGGGCCGGCAATCTAGCTCAGGATTGCCTCTGTTCTTCACTTCTCTTTCAGACAGGCATTTTCCTGACTCTCTCCGGGTGGGTTGGGGGCAGACAGAGCGGAATAAATGAGGAAGCTCTTGCCGATCCGTTCTGAAAGCTTCTCTAATGGCTGTGATTGGAAGAAGCGGGCCAAATGGAGTCCGAGGGTCATTCCGATTTCATGTATTCACAATCCCCAATCTTCCATTGAGTCATCGGGGTCCTAGAACCACTCTTGATGTTCAGCATACAGCAGGCTACTTCCGGTGTGGCTGAGGAGGCAGAGTTATGAAGAAAACACAGAGAGCCTGAGTATTTAAGCTCTACAGTGTCACTAGACCAAGCCATTCAAGCTCTGTAAGAGCCCCGAGGAAGAAGAGCCTCGGCCAGCAGGCTGCTGAGACCCAGTTGTGCTGGGAACAGGGTGGGTGCTGTGCAAACTTTGTGAAAATCGCATGAGTTCGGCACAAACTCAACTGGGCTAATGAGGACAGGATTTAACACAAGCCTGTGACAACATCACTCTTATATTGCAGACTAATGCCTCGGGGATAGTAGATGATAGAATCCACTAAAATTTAAAACTTGGAAAGAAAAGTGCGTGTGTTTCCCAAGAAAATGACAGGACCAGAGGAACCCATTTGAATGTAACCTAATAATTAAGACTGCACACTCTAGGGCCAGGCCTGGCTTCGAATCCCAATTCATTTACTGACTAAGGGAAAATATTTATTCTGTGTCTCAGTTTCTACATCTGTACAATAAGAACACAACACAATGTAACTCGTGCTGTTTTTCTGGCATGGTAAGTTAGCCCAAACTATGGGACTCAACAACAACCTGGACCTATTCTTTTCAAGTTCCAGAAGCCTGAGGGCCGGGAGGGCTACCCTCCCCCTTGAGGCTCCAGGAAGGAAGGACTCCTTGTGTCCTCCAGCATCTTAGGGGTGGCTAAGGATCCTGTACTCCTCTGGCTTTTGGCTACTGTGTCTCTAGTCACAGGCTCTCTCCTTTGGCTGCATCTCCAATGAGGATACTAGTTATATGTGGGATTTAGGACCTACAGTAACCCTTCGGATTGCATCCTAATTAACTACATCTACAGAGATTCAATTTTCAAATATCAGGATTAGAATTTCAATGTAATTTTTAGGGGGGAGATGCATTTCTAAACTTAGAAACTAGCTCAGTCGGGTAGGTACCACTGCACTTCTTCAACAGCAGGGAACCTAGATTAGGGTCTTATGGAAACTAGGCCAAGGCCACCGAACTAGTGAATGGTAAAATGAGATCTAGGCAGGGTCCCTTCTGTTCCAGAATCTCTATGACTTCTGCACACGTTCGAGGGCAACTTGGTTTCTGTTTTCATCTAGTTACTTTATGGACTTCACGTAAATCTCATTTTCCAATCCCCGGGTTCCTCCACATGACACCCCACCACACACAAATTACTCAATTTCTACTTCACTGCTTTAGAAACCCAAATTCAAAGACTTTTGACTACGGTGGTATTGACACTTACATTTAACACATGTCTTAAAAACCCTTACTGTGCCAAGGACCTCACAATATTTAATTAGCAGACCAAAGCAGACTGTGAACTTCTCTTCCTTCATGAGTCTGAAAAGACTACAAGGCCTAAAATATTTGGAAAGCTGAATCAGGGGGATTGTGAGTTCAAGGCCAGCCTGGGCTACATAGCAAAACTGTAATTTGAAATTTCAAAACATATAAGATTTTCAGATAGATCTATCCAGAATTAGCCACATACAAAACAGAATTGGGAAGTGCCCGCTACCCATATAATCTCCCCAACAACTCTGTGAAGGGAGGGGTCAGTCTATGACCATGTTGCAGATCAGACAATGGAGGCACAGGAAGCCTAGGATCACACAGCTGAAAGGTACCTCAGTGATCCAGAACAAGGACCAGCCCTAAGTAGCCTGCCTTTTGGCTCTAGCGACTGTGGTTTGGTGTGTGCCATTCCCTGTGTGCATAGGAATGTTAAAATCATGTTTAATAGTTAAACATTGGAGATGCCACAGTAAGCTTCCTTTAGTTAAATATGCACCCCCTGAACGAGCATTCTTATGGGAGAATCAATGTTAGAGCAGGCGTGTCACTAAGGCTTTGGTTCATCGTGTCCAGTTGCAGGAATGAGGGAAGGACTTCTCGGGAAGCGAAAATGTGATCAGCCGAAGCACGAGACGGAGAGAAAATGGATGCCCGAAAATAGCAAACACTCCAGATGAATGCAGTGCGCCGTGCTCGAGGGCGAGGGCCTGGAGAGCCACCTCTCAAGTGGCCAGCTCCAAGCTCAGGAGCAATCAGAACAGCAGACTGGGGGCTGCAGACATTGTCAAGTGACCCTCAAGCCCCAGCACATGCTTGTGGGAGGGAGATGATCAGATTCTGTCTGAAAGAATCCTCAAGGAGAACTTCCTGCTTCCCATGATTCACTAGCATACCTACTCAGTGCCAATAGAAGTGGAGTGGAGGGGGGTTCCTACCTGGTTTTGTTTTTACCTGATGTATTCTTGAAATTACCTACTATAATGTATAGGGAATAATATAAATAATAGTGTATTAGAAGTATTAGAAGCTATTATGTATCTAGTATTCCATGCTAGAAATGTACAATAATGATATAATTATGTATATGAAATAGTACCTAGTAATGCAAGGAAGAGCATAAAAGATCCAATCTTATCTAGAGTTCATCTACTTCTTGCACAATTTTTCCATGTTTCTACTCAGTTTTATGTAAATATGAAGGGGCAATAAACAATGGTGCATTGTCATAATAATCAGATTGTTAAAATCTGATGCAAGTAGAATCGTGGTGTGCATTTCCCTGCAAATCTGGTTCTTATTTCACTTTTTCCAAGAAATTATTATTATTGGTACATGTAGTATCTGTTTCTTCACGGCCATTCTGTATTCTAATCCTGAAATTCACGTGTTTTTCTCTTTTACTTAGTTCACTTTTAAAATGTAGCTGTTATAAATGATGCCATGGTGCTATCTTCATATTGTTCTCCAGGTCTGCTTGTGTAGAGGCCAAGAGCAAAGATCTCAGAACTCGACTGAGTTCCTCCGAGTCACAGGAGGCAGACCGCTGAGTAACTGGGTTTGCAAGCTGCCCATTCGTGATGCAGAAGGGAGAGGAGGCTATGCTTCATGAAACAGATGCCTAAGGGTTGGAGTCCTGAATCCATTACCAAAAAAAAAAAAAAAAAAAAAAGGTGGAGAAAGACTTTGGGGTACATCTTAGAAGAGGGATTGCTGGGCACAATTGCTCTTTTACCTGGAGGTTCCAAAAAGCTGTAGCCAAGTGGGCTTCCCAGTGACAGAGCCCAGTGCCGCACAGAACTGTGAGCCTGTGGGGGTGGGAATCAGACTGGGGAAACGCTTGCTCGGAAGCGGGTGGAGCAGCCTCTAGGGCGCTGAACTTGCTTTCCTGTAGCGCCCAGGATGGAATTTCTTGCTTTATATTTTCATAAACTTACGCTGTTTGCGTTTCCCTTTCTGAATGCCCTGTCCAAACCTCTCTCAATCTAATTCCTCTCTATCTGATTATTTGTCCGTTGGTAGGCCTTTACATATCGCTTCCTTTCTTTGCCTGAGAATTGCATAGACATGCCTGCTCACCCAAGAAAGAAAGAGCAACAAGAGACCAAAGAAATAATCTATCTAAGTATAGCTTGGTGACCCAGTGAGTTTACTGAACTAACCTGACAGGAACACACATGAGGAGTGACTTATGATCAGGTAACTGGATCACAGGAAAGCTCCTCACACCAGCTCATGGCCGCTGCATGGGCGCTTCCTGTGCAACACGCACCTACGTCATTAAAGGGTCTCCTCTTTCCCAGCAGCTATGGAGGCTGGTGAGGCTCCTGCTTTGGTCTGCTAGCTTCCTGAATCTTCCTGGGTCTTCCTTAGGAGTTTCCCGTGCTTTGTGACCCCAACGCCCTCCACAACAATGTTTCAGTTCCTAGGAAACAGCTACTTAGGATACACTCTGATATTGATCTAAATCGTTAATGATGAACACACGGGGCGAGGGGTGCAAGCTGGCTCAGTGGGTAAAGGGACTTGTCACCAAGTTTGAACACCTGAATTCCATCCCCAGAACCAGCAGAATGAGATAAAAAAAAAAACCTTCCAAAAGTTGTCCTTTGACCTGCACAGACACACACACACACACACACACACACACACACACACACACACACACACACAC